TTCAAAAGGCGGAAGAAGACAGCCCAGTATCCAGCCTTATCCTCTAATGCTTGATGGAATTTTAAATGTCTTAAGAGTCTAATCATAGATCTTAGCACACAGACGCGGGTGAGGGCGTGTGCTGGAGGAACGTTTAGTATTTAATGTGAGAGCCGAAGCTCTGGGTTTAATTTTCAGATGCAGACTAAACAGCAGGTCTGCAGTGGAAGAGGGGCTGGTGAATTCTAAATGGAATCAGGAAACGGAAATGCTCTCCTTACAAATTTTAGGAGTTGGGTCCCCATGATCCCCCTCTTTGTGTGCAGTAAGGAGTGCAAAATCCCAGAAGTCCATGTCGGCTTTAATAAATCCTTATTTCTTCTCCTTGATTGCAAAGAATTCTGCAACTCCGTTATTATAAAAATGCTGCAGGCTAAAAATACATCTGCAATTTAAGCTATCTTGCCAATAAACCTACAAATACCTGGTTGTCTAGAAAGAGTCGTTATGGTTTAGTGACAGATTCTTATTGTCATCTTAACGTGTCCAACTCGTTAAGGACTCAGAAGGACAGACACATCTGAGAGTTTTTCACGTTGCTGAGTATCTCCAGCCAGTCCCACCCGAGAAGAAATAACGGGCTCTCTGCCTCAGCAGCAATGACCAGAAACCAATTTTTCAAGTTCCAGCTGCAGCTAAGTGACCCGCAAGACCGCAAAATGGAGTTTTTCTATTCCTCTGTCAGATATTTTAACTTAAAATGGATTTAAATAAACATTAAAAAAAAAGAGGGGGGTGCCTGGGTGGCTCAGGCGGTTGAGCGTCTGACTTCGGCTCAGGTCATGATCTCGAGGTTTATGGGTTCGAGCTCCGCGTCGGGCTCTGTGCTGACAGCTCAGAGCCTGGAGCCTGCTTCGGATTCTGTGTCTGCCTCTCTTTCTCTGCCGCTCCCCTGCTGGCGCTCTGTCTCTGTCTCTCAAAACTAAATAAACATTAAAAAAATTAAAAAAAAATGGATTGAGGCTGTTTAACTTAATGGAAAGTGATTATTTCCTCCAACTAGGAAAACTTTACATCAGATTTTTAAAAATACGTTAAATGGAACATATAGAAACCAG